CCTAGGCCTGGCAAGTCAAAATCAGAGGAGGGAAATTCTATCAGAAAAAACACATATTTGAACATAAAATTTTCACCTTCACACGTTATTGAGTAGAGATTGTTTTAGTCAGAACCAACTATGAATAAAGATTTCAGCTTTGCATATAAAGAGAAGGGAACACAACTCAAAAAGTTAGCAATAATATATTTTTATTACACAAAAATAAAAAGAAGATAACATGGGAGTAATTGGATAATATTGAGGCTTTTAATGGATAAATAATTGAATCAGATGCTACACACTATAATAACCGACATGAGAAGGGGAAGATCGTGATAAAGAAGCAAATCCCGAAGATCATACCCAGACATGAAAAACGTATAAAGTATTGAACTTTCATATGGAAAGAGAGAAAGAGAAGGAACCTGCCTGGTGTAGAAGAAGTAGAAGTTGAAGGAACAAGATTACGGCAAAAAGAAGATGGCTTGTGGGTTTCTTTGTTTTTATTCAGATGATTTTACTTTTAGCACAAAGTGAAAGTGAAGAATAATGAGGACTTGAGGAGTAAACCAAGCACATCATTATAATATAGGAAAATATATCTCAATATTTAAAATTATCTAATACAAAATATCTCCAAATGTTTAGATATAAAAATAAGGATGTTATAATAGATTTATACATGTTTAATACACCATTCATTATTTATTTGTATTATTTTTATTGATGAATCAATAATAATAAACATAAATGAGTCAACAATAATAAAACATGAATGATGAATTATTCACCAATATATTATTAGTACATACATTTTTTCTTTAAAAACAATATATCATATTATAATAATTGGATCTTAGATTACTTAGAGTATCTCTTATCATTTAGATTATTTTATTTTATGATTTTATTTTTTTTATCTATTTAAGATGTTAATGTTATGTTATTTGTATGAAAAAATAAGAAAAAATGTATATACTAACACGGTAACAATTCTATACACTGTCAGTTCACCATCTACCGTTAATTTTTTATTATCATCAACTCTTCATAAAAATTAATATACATAAGTGGTGTATAATATATTAATTGTGTATAAATATTTACACTATAATATGTATTTACACTATATTAATACATATTATAGTGTAAATATTTATACACAATTAATATATTATACACCACTCATTATGGAGAGTAGGGTGTGCATTCTAATAGGAGATCTATCGTCATTGTGGGCTTGTCCTTTCTCAGCCTAAGTTTGACAATGATGTACATTTGTACTACCTTTGGTCAACGTAAACCAACACCACTGAGGCAAACATGGTCTGGCCTTTAACGTGAACAAAGATTTTTTGGCATAGCAAATGTTATCTTCATTATCCTTGTCATTATCGTCTTTTCTTCTAGTTAGACCAAATCTTATATGGCCGATAATTGGTCTTATTTCTAATGATCCATTAGTGTTGATGAGTGATGATACTATGATAGAATAATATGTCCAACGTTATGCTTTTTTGTTCTAGTCTCATGTTGAGGTAGCTATGGGATCCAGACTACTTTTAGGACATCAATTAGTGTTGGGGGTGTTTGTATTGAGAATGAAGTGGATACTTCGAGTAAGATATGTTGCCATTGAACAACTACTTAGTTAGTAATAACAAGAATGAAACCTAAATTTTAGTGGGTGATGCATGCTATATTATAATGCTTTATTATCATTCACTCACAAAAGTGTTAATTCCTTGGCCTTAATAAAATTGTATGCCCACCAACAAAAAGTTGATCTAGTAATGTAACTTCCTTGGCCTTAATAAAATTGTATGCCCACCAACAAAAAGTTGATCTAGTAATGTAAGGCTCTGCTAGATCTCTATGATAATCAAAATGTCAAAAGTTCGATTCCTGTGAACGATATTTATTGGGAGAGACAATTATACATATTGTAAAAGATTAGTTCTTTACCTATAAAACAAAGTTTAGTACCAAAAATGTAAATTTTCCACTTATAAAAAAATTATTAAGCATTCATGAAAAGCATATTCCATTAGCATAGTCAATTGTCACTAGGTTGAAGGTAAAATCTGGGTGAAGGGTAATATATAAGTAAATTTGAAGTTTTTATTTGTTGCAAAACCACTAGAGGTGAAGAATAATTTACTCTTAAAAAATTTCACTTAGTTTTTCTTACCACAAGTACAAGTAGATTTAAGGAAATGACATTTACCTTGCCTAAAGTTTGGCCTAATTACACTTCATGTCCCCTTAGTCCCTTACACCCACAACTTCACCTCGGAGCAAGACAATCCTTCTTAACACGAGACGTGATTTCTTCATTATACCTTTTCCTCTGATGCCATATTTGATTATTTTCTCAATTAAAATATACTTTTCATCTTTTACAAACCACAACATGTGGGGGTAAGAATAGTGGGTCAAAGAAACAAGGTGCTAAAGGAAAAGACATCACCACATTTGGTTAGTTCAGTCAGAGTTTGTGGTGGCTAATAAAGATGTACTCAATATTGGTTTTGGATCCACAATTGATAATGGAACACAATGAGTTGAAGTTAGTGCATCAATCAAACACGCTGTTGGGTATTCAGCAGACAAAATAATGGGATAATAATTTAACTAATAAAGGGATAAGCATGACATGGTAATCAAATATCTAGGAACAAATGACCAATCAAACTCACTGTCATATCCATTATAGTTGAATGACATTTCAAAGGAGATCATAGAGACTGAAAGTGGATTATTACTTCGACATTGTAGCTCCTATAATAGAAAAAAACTACATTGTGGATCCTATGTTGTGCAGTGGAGCTCTCTATCAGCACAATTTTCAAAGTTTTGATATCTTAATATGAGAAAACCAAATGGCAATTCAATACTATTTATCAAATTAGCTTTGAGTCCTGAAAGAGAGAGAGAGGAAAAACACCATTTTATATATAGTTTAGATTTATATTAACCTTTAGATGTGAGAAAGATTAAAAGCAGCACAATAACAGTGAATAACTGAAGCTACTCTAAATAAGTACAAGACAAAGAATGGGAGAATTGTTTACTAATAAAATATCAAAGTACATATCAATAAAATAATAAAATAGGCATCATGCAACAGCCTGAAGATTTAAATAAAGGTAAAACGTTTCTGAGATTTTATTTCTCCTGTTTTGTAGTTATTTCTACTGAAAAAAGCACCATGATGAGACTTGTAAACTGGGTTGCAGGTCCAAAATATATAATGTAGGTGACAAATCTTACATTATGCCTGTCCCTGCACTTTTATGCAAGTCATTTTGGGCAAAAATGATCAAAAGGGATCAGATTTTGCATAACTCAACCCTAGAGGAACAAATGTTTTCTAACTACAATTCCATTAATCTGTGTAGTTTGCATACGTGACACATGTAAGTTTACACATTCCACCAAGCCCTGCAAGTATCATAATCATAAATCCTAAGCATGTTAAGCCAGAACTAAAAGCAAAGATTCAATTATATTTGGCAATAGTTAGAAATTCAAAAGAATGGAGACATGGCAATATAAATTGACAGCGCCGAGCGAGTGATCTAATGCGCTCAATAGCATAATTTGATTTTGGTATTTGAGATTGCAATATTGCAGTTTTGGTAGATTTTGCAACCACCTCACCATTACAATTGCAACATGTATTAAGGCCACTTTTTCTTGAAATTGCAATAAATGCAAGTCAACCACAACCTTGACTGGTTTTAAAAATCATAAATGTTAAATAGGCTGAAAGTAGATGGTTATTTTTATATAGGAATTCTCATATGGAAACACAACTAAACAACAGAAACTACAATGGCTTGACTGATCAATGTTTATCAACCAAAAGTCAACATAAAAACAATCCATAACAAAATTTATAGTTGTCAGATTCTTTAGTTCTCAGGTAGCACAGAAAACACTAATCAGGTCTATCCAATTGAAGCCAGAGGAATACATTTAAAGGCTTCTAATTGACACATAAATCTCCTCATATTAATCAAGAACTTGTGACATTGTAAATGCAGATCAAAAAACAAAAGAACCACCATCTATTGAACAAATAAAAAAATGCTAAGCTAACAATGCTCAAGACGAAGTATTTACATTCTCACTTCCATGCTAACACTAGTGGAAGCTGAAAAATTGCATACATCTTAGAGCATCAATGAATAGCTTTTAAGAATTCAAATCATGAATTTTTCTTTGCCATTGTAGCCAATGTGCTACGCGTAGCCAAAGCCTTCCCCGAAATCAAATCATCCTCAACCCTACAAGAGTCCTTCCTATACCTTTCTTGCTGAAGCTGATAATCTTCAAATGCACCAGCCAAAGCAGTAAAATCCTCCCTCATCAACAAACTATTGTGAAGTATGGAACACGCGCCGATGTAAGCAACAGCCATCTTCACTTCGTCCTGAATCGGCCCTCTCAAAATGCCCCAATTCTTCAAGCTAGCTGCGGTTTTAAGCGCAGAAAGGCGCATAACCTCATGAACCTTATTGAAACTCTCCTCAATAGAACCAGGCAAAGTCTCATCATCCACAAAGGGAACCATAAGCCATGGAAGCAAAGGGTAAGCTTTGTCACCAACCAAATACTGATTCAACTTAACCTCTTTTTCGTTTATCGAAGGAGAATTATTCAATAGCATACCTTCTTCAATGTCCTTATACAAAGTCGAAGCCTTTAGGATCATGGTATTGCTCTTATATCCATCAAAACCAGCCACAATGTTCAAAATTCTACCCGACGAATCCACAACTATCTGAGCAGCCAAACATCGAGTCGAAGAGGTTAAATCCTTGAAAACTTCGAATCTACAAGATTCTACAGCGCCACAGCAATTAGGCAAACCTGAAAGATTCTCGAATGACTTCGAAACCAATTCGAGCTCACTCGAATTCGGGAACGAAACCCAGAACCGGAAATTCGTACAGAGAACCCTGCAGAGCTGTTTAACGCAGAATTTAGCAACAGAAACTGGCACACCAAACCGGGTCGAAATATCCGGGTAATCGGATCCGTTAGCGAGACGGAACAACCCGATACCGAGCCGCGTCCCGGCGGTGAGGTTGATCGGAAAGAGGCCAGCAGGGTCACGACAATCAAGAAGCGGTTCCAGCAACCCAGCGAGCCACTCAAAGGTGGATGACGTCATGTTATAAGAGTTAACGAATGAATCGGGACTCCGAAGAACCGAACCGGGTTCATCCGGGTCGAATAAATTGTGGGGGCGCTTACGTTTTCTTTTGGGGGAGAGGGTTGCGGCGATTTGATTAGAGAGGAGGAGGTGGTGGATTAGAGGGAGGGAATTATTGTTGGGGAGGGAATTGGAATGAGTGGAATTGGGAGGGAAAATGAGGAGAAGTAGAAGAAGGAGTTGGGAGATGAGGGAGGAAAGTAACGCAGCCAATTTACGAGATTCCATGTGATATTGGGAACGGAAATCGAGGTTTGGAATGAATGGGGAAAGGGGGCAGAAGGAAATACGGGGTGTCAGAGAGTGACAGTAATGGCCTTTCATTGGCTGGGATCGTATGTATATATTCTCTTATTTGACCTTCGCCACCTTTGGAACATTCTTTTCTGAAGCACGTGTGTCATATCTCTTTATAATTCACCATCTCATTCCTCACTAAAGAAGTTTACATTGTCATCGTTATATAATTCATTCATTTATATGCTTAATAATAAAGATGATGTTACAAAATCACTTTTTAAAAATTACATTTAAAAAAACTACTTTTTATAATCACATTTTACCATTTCTTCTTACACACTTTGACTATTCTACTTTTTTGTTTTAATATATTAGATATTCATGGAAATAAACGGAATCAAATCTATCCATTTTTAAAATTATTCATTTGATTGTATACATTTAAATTTATTATCTTAAATAGAATGGATTGAATGATTTTAATTTATCTTGAGTGTGAATGATTATATACATTGTTTCAAATTATGGACATATTCATATAGTAGCCACATTCACACCATGATTGTGGTGTTACACTGATGATGTGGCTTCATCGAGCCACACACACAATCACATTTGGTTTACATCAGATCGTCTCATATCATGTCAAATTAAAAAAAATATATTTTAAATCACAAAAAGTTCACACTATTACAAGTTTACAACTATAATGCATAGGCAACTTCCACAATCACATAACTACAACAAACCATGACCACGATATTAAGTGTAGCTTCTTCAGAACTTAAAAGAACTTTATAAAAATTGTGAAAATTGTGGAGAAGAATTATTAATATTGAAGAAATATCTTCTCTAATATATAATCTTACATAGAACAAAAAAAAAATTACCTACTCTAGTAAGTATTCATAAATCTCCTAAAATACCTAAATTCTAAATATAACTAACTAACATAGTCATAATTTAAAACATCTAATATCAATAATTTTGTCCATCGGTACTTGCATGGATACATTTTCTGTTTGGTTTCCTCTAACGAGCCCCATTGGTGCCTAACCTCACTCCAAGTCTGTCTCCATCCCCTAATATCATGAAGAATGAAAAAAACACTGGACTATACACCTCCTCCTAAGATGATGAGCATGTTCCAATTTTTAGAAACACATGTATTTTGCACGTGTGTTTGGTGTAGCCGCATAACTAAAAAAAGGATTATGATGATTTTGAAAAATGGTTTTAAACTACTTTTTGCTTTAATGGAAAAGAACAAATTTAAATGTTTTACTCATGTATATATCACAACTTTGTGTTTGGTCAACAAATAATTTTTTCCCAATTATCAATTAAGTTTTTTATATTTGGACAAATATACTTTAAGTTTGTGTCAATAACCAATTACACTCGGTATATTAGTGTTTTGAGAGTCCTCTAAATTATATTGCAACCACAATTATGATTGTATCCTCATCATATTGTTTGTACAAGATCACAAAATTTGGATGTAAATCTTCATGTAATTAATATTATTTATGATGGATGAGTATAACGGAGAGAAAATTTAGAGTGGAAAATAATCTCAAAAGGATCTTTCTCCAAATAGAAGCTTATGAAAAAAAAATATTCAACTGTTTTTTCTTGAAAAATAAATAAAATTACTTTCAGCAAGGTTATCAAATATGATTAAAGTTCTAACACAGTTTTTAAGACAAAAATAATATGCGCTTATTTAAAAAACAGACGCCGATATCTAGCACCTAATTACGCAAATTTTGATGTAAATAAAATTCATTTATCTTTTGCTGTAACTTAAAATAGTCCAACATAATATCGCATTGACATGTTCTTTTTCTTCTTGCTTGTCACATAATAAAAATAAAACAAAAAATAATATATTTTTATTATTTATTAAGATATGATTAATTTGAGATATAGAATTGAAACATATGTGTATATGTGATTTTAGTTCACTATAAGAACCCATACAACGTTTGCTATTACAAATATCAAGCCACCAAAACTCTACGTGCAGAATTTTAGTCAAACTAAAATGGTCAAATCATACAATCTTCATCAAATCAGTCATTTATATAAACGATTGTCAATTAAGTTTTGAATATTCAATATAACCATCATATAGTATAAATTTTAATCTCCAGTCATCAAATAAGTTCATAATGTAATGGTATTTTGAAACTCTTGAAATTTATTTGGTAATCATTTCATTTACCAACTTGGTAAACTTCATATCTTTGAAATATGAATTTGATATATTATTTTTTTAGATGTAAAAAAGTAGGTTACCCAACAATTAATAATACAATAAAGAATATAATTATTTTAAGACAAAAAATTTCTAACATAAAATTACTCGGTCTGTATGTTAAGATTAGGTTGTAAGGTATATGAAACTTTGTAACTCACTTGAAAGCCTACAAATAGATAAAAACTTATAAGTTAAGAGTGAAAACTATGAGATGATAAGTTAGTTGATGAAATATAACTGGTCGATCAAATTGATTATAAATGTAAAATTGAATAAACTACCTACTTATAAGTCATAAGAAATTTTAATCAACTTATTAAATTTGAGCTTATAAGCTTGTATAAATAAGCCTCATTGCTAAATACAACCACTTAACTTATTTTTGGCCGAATAAACTAGTAAACTGCTTACATGCTACATGATGACTTTACCAACCACACACATTATATTTCCTTAAATTCAATGTCCTTAGAACATTCCCCTTTTTCAAACATCTTATTATGCTATAAGGATTTCTTTTAAACTTCCTCAAATTACTTCAACCAACAAATTCATATAGTTAAAATCGTACATCTTTTATGGATTCTTATTTGAGCTTGTTGGAAGAACGACAAACTCTTTGCACTCTTTGAAGCTTAATAGATAACAACGATTTCAATAATATTTTAGAGTAAGACATAACATGGCCCTTAAAATCGTAATCATCATTCAATTCAGTTTCTACACTACCAAAAAGTAAACATAGTTGTAAAAATTTAGTCACCATTAGTAATGGATGTCAATTAAATCTAACAAAACATTTCAGTTAACATGGTAGATAAGGTTATGTGTATTATTTTCTAAAAAAATACATTGGTAACTTTACCCTCGCATGTCAGCAAGATCAATATATGGTATGAACCTCAAAATTTGAATTGTGTGGTTTAAATATGAACTTCATTTTTTTATAATCTAAACGTGATAGTAAACCAACCCAATATTCATAAATGGAGAGAAGTCTTGTTCGATTAAATTAGCCCACAATCCACCTATTTGAATTAGGCCTATTAAATCGGACCAAAATGGCTTAATTCTATTTGAGAGAGGGTTCATATGTATATGTCTTGCCTATTTGTCTCATTTGATCAAATATATTAAGTAATGTTTTTAATAAATAAAAGGCTCTGAATGAGAAATGAAAAATAATAAAAATGTATTAAATCTAAATTTATTATCTCATAAAATATTAAAATTTTAATTTTTTTAAATACATACAAAACTTTTTAATCGGGTTGAGTTTAGTAAAAACCTAAATAAAATAATTTTGAATTTCTAGCGTTCAACTTTTTATGGCCAAAAGAAAAGGAAAAAGTACAAGACTTAAATTAAATAGTTGATGAATCAAGGCATAGTAGGTAGCCAATGACGCGCAGAAGAAAAACCGGCATGAGAGACACGCGCGAATAAACCACCCAACCTGCACCTCCCTCAAATAAATATCTACTTCTCATTACCCAAGATATTATCTCACTTGCTGATGTGGCACTCTGATGAATACAATGACACGTGTAAAAGCGATGCCATGTGGACCCTTTTTCCCAAACAATAACCCACACCTCTCTCATTCTCATCTTTCATTCTTTCTTCAACATTCACAACAATCAAAACCAGAGGGTTTCTTTCTTCTCTCTCACTATGGGAAACGATCTCGCTTTTGACCGAGTTGACTCGCTCATCTCCTCCGATCCAGAACCACCATTGCTCGATGCTTGCGAAACCGTGTTGACTCGCACCACCTCTGATTCATCCTCTTCCATAACCGTCGCAAACAATTCATTCCATGATTTGGAGCTTCATTCTCAGTTTCCAGTAATTTCACTCGTTATTTTTTGCACCTACTAAATCTTGAATTTCTTTCATGTACCTTATGATACTGGATTTTATATTCTCGTCTTTCTTTCTATCTATGGTTTTTGATCTTGTGGTTAGAAATCGTGAGTTAAAAAGTGGATCCGTGTGTGTGTTTAAATAACTGTTAGGATTTTAGGTAATTTGAGCGCTTTTCTCTTTTATATCCTTTTGGTGTTTAATTACGCAGTGTGCTTTGCATGCGCTCACGTTTCCATGGCGTGTGTCTATTTTTATAAATCGTGTAATCTGAAAAGAAGAAAAAATCCGCTAAATTAAGCTAGAAATGACCCGAAAAGAAACTAAATAAGTAAAAACAGTAGAAAAAACAGAGAAGTGATTAAATCATTTTATAAATTTGCAACCGGTAGGGGTTTAGGCCCTTGCATAAGGTTGGTGAGGCTCTTTGATCCACTATTTTTTGTTATTGTTGTTTTGATCTATTATGTTCTTTTATCTCTTAGACGCTCTTTCAAATTATGTAATTTTTGAAGATATTTTTTTGGGTGTAGATTCTGTGTGATATAACTTGAGTATCCAATGAAGACATGGACGGTTCACTTTTGCATGAAAATATCTAATTATTACATTTCCTTTCCGTTTGTATCTACTGCTTATGCTTAAATGAAATTGTTTATCTGATATGCTTTTCACTCTCCTTGGAACATCTACTCAGGTGCATAATTAAAAGCTTGTTTTGTTTTAGTGTAAGTTTGAGTTGATATGATTTTGGTTCCTCTTAGCAATCTGAAATTTTGTGTGTGCTTATGTTCTCCTATCTTTGTGCTGATTGCTGAACTCATAACAGGAAGAATTCAAAGTAACAGAGTGACCAAAAACATTTGGAAAGGATAATGAACT